ATGGCCTGCTCACCCCCAACTGGCCCCCCCCACCGGCCTGATCACCCACAACTGCCATCCCCTCTTGGCCTCTTACCACCTCTACCTCGGCCCTGCCACCACAGCTTTGTCCAGAAGAACGTCCGGAAGGTCTCCTGGAAGGTCTCCCAGTCTAATTAGCATATTTCTTTTTATGAGTATAGATAGAGGCCTGGTACATGGGTGGGGGCTGGCTGGTTTGCCCTGAAGGGTGTCCTGGTTCAGGGTAGGGGTTCCCTTGGGGAGTGGGGCGGCCTGGGCAAGGAGCCTGTGGTGGTTTGTAGGCTGGCCACGCCACCATTGGGGTGGGGGTCCCCACTGGGGACGTTGCCAGCCTGGGTGAGGGGTTGGGGCAGTTTGCAGGCCACCCATGCCCCCATGGGGTGAGGGTCCCCACTGGGAGGGTGTGGCCAGCCTGGGTAAGGGGCTGAGGGCCTTTTTCAGGCTGGCCATGCCCCCCAGCAGGGACCCTCACTTGATGGTGGCGTGGCCAGCCTGGGTGAGGGGCTGAGGGCTGTTTGCAGGCCCCTCTGTCGGCAGTTGGCCAGGTGACCCAAGCCTCCCTCAGCTCAGGCCGGCTCCGTGGCGCCCGCCCACAGGCCCCTCCTTTGGTGGCTGGTCCAGGAGGGAAGCTTGGCTTCCTCCGTCTCCGGGGGCAACCCAAGCCTCCCGCTGCTCCAGCTGGCTCTGTGGCACCATCTTTGTTCCACTAATTTGCATATTTCCTCCTGATTGGCTGTGGGACATGCGGAGGTAGGTCAATTTATATATTTGTCTATTATTAGAGTAGATAACTTGATTATTTCTATGAACATCCTAACTCTCAAAAATGTGAGATAAGCCCTAGCAGGTTTGGCTAAGTGGATTGAGCATCAGCCTGCAAACTGAAGGGTCTTGGGTTCAATTCTGGTCAAGGTCACATGCCAGGTTGCAGGCTTGATCCCCAGTGGGGGGCACGCAAGAGGCAGGTGATCAATGATTCTCTCTCATCATTGATGTTTCTATCTCTCTCTCCCTCTTCCTCCCTGAAATAAAAAAAAAAAAGTGAGACAAGCAAAATTATATATAAGATAAACAAGTCCTGGGGATATAATGTATCAAAATAAATAAGTAAAACTGTTGGGATATTCCCTCTTAAAAGTAACTATAAGATGCCAGTAATAAACATAATGGCATTTTTTCTGAAGTATTTCTGAAGTAGGTAATATTACTGCTGCATTGATGTTCTGGTATTTGCTCGTCTGTGTGTGGTGTGCCGGGTAGGCTTGCTAATGCTTGCGGGTCTGGCTGCTGGCTGGCTGTCCCTACACTCCCCAGGCTGCTCCCAGCACTGGGAATTCTTGCTATTCATTTTGCAATTCCTATGACACTGTGGTTTGGTCACCAAAGACTTAAGCTGCCTCCTGGTTTTTGTAGACAGCTGCCCTTTTTCTGATAACAGAGCGTCTACCTTCTGATGTCAGAGCCCCAGACACCTCCAGACAGTCCGTTTTATTTCCCTGGCTTAGGCTAGAAGCTAGCAGAGTGCCAGGATGCCAAGGATGCAAACACACCTTGTATAGGAAAGGCAGTGGCTGAAGTTCTGAGTTCTACTGATGGTCCTTTTTGTGATAGTCACACCACTCCTGAAACACCATTTCAAGCTCCCCCTCTCTCACTTTGGTCAAGGAATTGAGCAGTTATTTTTAGCAGCAGCAGCAGCAGCATATTATTGCATCATTATAATTTAGATTTTATATTTATTTTATTTTATTTCATGACTATATATTTTTTTGTTTTGTTAAAAGGGACTTTCAGAATGATCATTATATGTGAGATCACCTCATTATTTTGAGTATGTTAGAATCTTTATAACAACTTCCAAACTTTAGGATATGTGAAGTGTTTGCTTATTTTTCATGTCTGTGTAGAAGGTCTTCCGACAGAAGATATAAAGCATATCCTGGAGAAGGTATTATCAGAATGGAAGACTGTATCTCAGCATTTGGAAGATCTGGCAAGAAAGATTCAGCTCCAGGAAGATACAAACACTTACTTTAAGCAACTCGACGAGCTTGACAAGACCATAAAGACAAAGGAGGAGTGGCTAGAACATGCCCCCTCTTCGGCATCCCCCCAGCAGGCCTTGCGGAGTGTGAAGGTAGAGAGACACCATGCGGATGTGAAAGAATTCTGTGCCCAGTCCTGTATTGAAGGGAATGCTCCTTGTATCATGACCGTTAGGTTAATTCTGCTCTGATCAACTTTCTGTGAGGACGTCCATCCTCTGGTGAGTTGTGTGACCTGGTTTTCTTGTCCACAGCGGGAACTGACGAGTCTCCTTGGCCTCCACCCCAGAATTGAAACGGTGCGTGCCAGCTGCGCAGCCCTGAAGTCGAGGCCTTCTGCCCCCGATTTTGTCCAGCAGAGCTTTGAACGCCTCCTGGGCCGCTACCAATCTGTGCAGCAGGATTTAGAGGATCGTCAGCAACAGCTAGAGAATGGTAAACGTGCTGTCTCCTGCATCACCTCCCTGTTCGCTCTAATTTAAAAATTCCTCCCAATATTTGGACCTTTAGCACGTTGGCTTGTTTTGTAGGACATGCACTCTGTTTTCCTCTGTGCCTGCTACTGTTCAGGTCAGAAAGCACATTCAGACTATTTCCTGGATTCACAATTGTTTGTGAAAATACAAACAGCTTTCACCTGCTCTAAAATCATGTGGTAATAGGGTATCATGATTTTAAGGCTTTTATTAAAGGGTGCTGTTCCTCCCTTTCCTTTAAGGAGGCCAGTCAATATCATTACTAAGGGCTAAAAAGAATGGTAAGTTTACTTCAGTTTGCTCAAGCTGGTTCAAGTTTTAGCAGTACCATCTTCTCTTTTAAAAGAAATCATGTTCCTGTTTTGAAGTCTGAACATTTTAAAAGAGTTTTTACTTTTAGAATAAACCTGGTTTTGGCAAGTTAGCTGTTAAAAGTTTTGAGAGCGGATTCCTCATGTTATATTTTTTTCTCCTTAGTTGTTGTTTAAGCCAGGAATTGTGTTGTATTAGGTAATGTTATGGGCAGTGCATGTTAAAAAGCTGCACATTTAACCATACCCTTACCTGCAGCAATTGTAGATTGTGTATTGGTGAGCAAATGTGTCACATGCCTTTCCTTCTGGAAAGGCATTTAGACACCATACTCTTTGTTCATAGAACTCAGTTAACCTGGAATGTCAAATGTTTGACACTACACCTCTTTTTATATTTACTGTTACAAAACATGCTTTCATTTTTGACAAGGATCCATAGGCAATTGAAATGTTTAATTACTTAAAAATTCAATTTATTTTTATTTTTTTGGGTTTTTCATTGTGGCAAAATACATGTAACATTAATTTGACCACTTTAACCATTTTTAAGGGTGGAGTTCAGTAGTGTTAAATATACTCACATTGTTTTGCAACCAATCCCCAGAGCTCATTTCATCTTGTAAAACTGAAACTATACCCATTCAACAAAGAGTTCTCCATTTCCCCCTCCCTCTAGCCCTTGGCAACCACCATTCTACTTTCAGTTTCAATGTATTTGACTACCCTAGCTTCCTCATATAAGTGGAATCGAGTAGTCTTTGTTTTCTTGTGACTGGCTTATGTTGCTTAGTGTAAGATTCTCTAAGTTCATCTATGCCGTAGCATGTGTCAGAATTCCTTTCCTTTTTAAGGCTGAGTAATATTCCATTGTGTGTATGCACTACCTTTTGTTTATCCATTCATTTGTCCATGGGCATCTGGGTGTTTCCACCTTTTGCCTGTTCTGAATAATGCTGCTAGTTTCACTTTTGCTGCTAGCTGGTTTCATCACTTTGTGCTTCCAATAAGTTTACTCCTTTCCACACAAGCGTTGCTTACCTGTGGTTTTTACATTTGCGGGTGCAGTAGACTTCATTCCAGTTGTCGTTTGCAGTCATTGTTTCTCAGGGTGCCTGCAGCAGCCTGGTGTGGTGTCCCATGTAGTGTCCGCCACTCTGCGATGGCGGTCTGTCTGCACACTTGCGCTAAGAGGAAGACTGGCTGAAGGGATCTTTGTTTTCTTTTGTTCTTTGCATAGCTACTGGGGAAAAAGAGATGGTATGAGACAGAGAAGCATTGTAGTACCATCTTCAGAGAGACATTTCATCATGACACAATGAAGAAAAATGATAGTGGGTTAGTTAATATTTCAAACATCAACATCCGTAGGAATGATGTCACTATCTGACTCTCAGAGATGCCAGTGAATGATTTCAGCAGCTAACAGAGACCCTTTTAAATTTCAATTACAGCGTTTAACTTTTTTTGTACTAGAATTCCCTTAGTATATACAGATTAATGTTATATACAGTAATATTAGGCTTCTAGCATTGTTCTCTCAAACTAAGTATTTTTAAATAAACAGAAATGAGCCAACCTGGACATGCGTATTTGGAAACGTTGAGAACTCTGAAAGATATGCTAAATGATTTAGAAAGCAAGGCCCAGACATCGTTGGATGTCTTGAATGAACCTGCCAAGGTGGAGAAGGCCCTGCAGGAAAAAAAGGTAATATATATATTTTAGGTCTTAGAAATCTAGAGTCACTTCTAATATGTCACATATTTTAGAGCCAACCTGGACATGTGTATTTGGAAACGTTGAGAACTCTGAAAGATATGCTAAATGATTTAGAAAGCAAGGCCCAGACATCGTTGGATGTCTTGAATGAACCTGCCAAGGTGGAGAAGGCCCTGCAGGAAAAAAAGGTAATATATATATTTTAGGTCTTAGAAATCTAGAGTCACTTCTAATATGTCACATATTTTGAACTATATTTTTCAGCTATTTGAAAAGCATTAGTCACTTTTGGTCATAATTGGCCAAAAATTTCTTACAATTGGAAGCTACTATAATGTAGCACCTTAGCTAAAAGAAAAGATAGTCATATTAAATATTTTAATAGAATGAAACCATATTTTTCTTCTATTGTAATTAACTTAAAATTCTCAACCTATTTATAATCTACTAAAATATATTTAACAAAATGAATAATATCAATTAAATTGAGGTGTTGTACTTTTTCCATGCTGAGGAAAAATGCTTCTCTGATCATTTAGGATACATGGCTCTGAACCATTTCATCAGATAAAGCAGGCCACTGAGTGAGCCCCACAGCTGGGCCCTCACTGGGTGTGTTATTACAGAGGTTTTTAGTGTAGAGAATGCACTACACTACACTACACTACATGTACACTCACCCACATACAACTCATGAAGGGAAAGCTTTAACTTTTCTGATTGTGCTTATTTTTTTGATGATTTTTTCACAATCTTTGAAAAATATATTTTTATTGATTTTAGAGAGAAAGAGAGAGGGGGAGAGAGAGAGAAACATCAATGATGAGAGAGAATCATCAACTACCTGCCTCCTGCATGCCCCCTACTGGGGATCGAACCAGTAACCAGGCATGTGTCCTGACTGGGAATCAAACTGTGACCTCCTGGTTCATAGGTCAGTGCTCCACCACTGAGCCATGCTGGCTGGGCCACAGTTTTTTTTTTTATTCAATGCTTTTTAAAAGGTGACTTTTAACTGTTTATAGCTCATATTATTACATCTATACAGGTAAATCATTGTGCATATTGTTAATCTTTTAAAATTTTCTTCCAGGCTCTTGATGAAATCCTTGAGAATAAAAAACCTACATTATTTAAACTTGCAGAAGAAACAAAGGCTTTGGAGAAAAACGTTTCTCCAGATGTAGGAAAAATGTATAATCAAGAATTCAACGATGTTCAAGGAAAGTGGAACAAAGTGAAGGTCAAGGTTTCCAAAGATCTGCATTTGCTTGAAGAAATGATCCCCAAACTGAGAGCTTTTGAGGTAAATCTAGAGGCCATTAGGGGTTTATGTTTATTCCAGGGTAAAATAGTAGTTATCATGTAAGACTCAAATATCTATTATTTGAATATCTTGCATTCTTTCTACTGCCACATTTATTATGTACTTAAGTTGGGATTTATAACTTGCCTACCAAAGCTGTATGTTTACCGTGCTGGAGAGCACAAAGATAAGAGAAAATTACTTAAAAATGGTCAAAATCAAGTTTCAGTGATGAGGAGCTCGCATGATATACAGACTGGTGACTAGATTGCAGGGGTACCTCAGAGTGGTCGAAGTTGCCCGGGTAGCAGCAGATACCTGAGTCTTTGAGGCTGGTCTTCTTTTTTAAGGTTTTAGATATTTGGAGTTGAAAAATATGAACTAGGTCCTCAACAGACTGTGTCAGATTGGAAAAGCAGGTAATTTGAGGTGCACGAAAATTCAGAAATGGGATCCTTTGCTACGTATGAAAATGTCTACAGAGGAAGAAGCAATGATAAAATCCCAGAGGAAAGGATAAATGTGAGGACATAAGGAGAAAATGGTAAAAGTCAATGTCAGAATATTAAACACTTGCTTGTGAGGAAGATGGAGAAGTAGAGTTTCCAAACTGCCTGGTTTTGCAATAGGAAATATCTGGATGAAGAGTGATCCCATCATACTCACCCCCCATAGGCTCTATGTCCTCCTGAGCCTCCTTACCTGGGTCTTTTGTGTATGTTTTTTTGCATGTAAGTATCCCAAAATGTACTTCTAGAACAGAACCTGGCTCAGAGAAGGCACTCCATAAATATTTCCAATGCCTGAAATGAGATTAGTACTAGGGGGTTTAGCTATGGAACTACATATCCCAAGAGAACATATGTAAGAGATTATGTATATTTATATATTTGGATTTAGATCCCAAGAGAATTTGTGTTAAAGGTGTTGTTAAAAAAGTGAGAAGATTAAAAATGAAGAAAATAATTATTGAGAATGATGGCTTAAAAATTAAAATCAGAGGACATGTAGTAGAAGAGGGTGGGGAAGGCTGTACAGATGAGTGTGAAAGGATCCAGAATGATGAGACGACAGTGGTGACCATTGAACTTGGAGGGAAGCTCTTTGGCCCAAGAACCAATGGACAGGTCCAGTGCATGATGAGGAAGAGAGTAAAGATGGCAAGGGTTTTGTGTGTGTGTGTGTGTGTGTGTGTGGTGGTGGTGGAAGAGGAGGAGGAGGAGGAGGAGGAAGGAAGTGGTTTTCTCTAAGTGTAAGTTGTAGTTCTATATTGAGATATCATTAGAACAAACCTGTAGTTGCCAATTGGTATGCTGCAAGAATTCTTAAAACATGCAGTACCTGACCAGTCAGGGGCACTGACTTCTTTTCCCTTAGATTGTCAAGTAAAAAAAAAAGACAATAACCAACACAGCAATAGCTGTCCAGTGTGAACAAATCAAAATTACACCTATTTTTTTTGTCAGGTTGGCAAAAAATATATTTTTTGGTGTTCCACCAAAGTTTAGTAATTAATTTATGTGTTCCATGAGATGAAAAAGGTTAAAATGGCTGAATTAAATCATTCATTTTGAAGAAGAGTATGTTATGTGTAGCTTGGTATTTTTGACTCACTTAACATTGTGAGTGGATCCACTTCCCCTCGTCTGTCTTCAGTTATAATTCTTTCCAGCTTTAAAAACCAGAGTTACCTTTATTCACAATTCTAAAATTTTGGGTGGTATCCAAGCATTGGATTATCAGTGGTTCTTAGGCCAGGGGTGATTTTGCCCCCTAGACATTTGTTATTGCTTCCAGACAGTTTGTTTGCTGCAACATGGGGGAAGGGAGGGTGCTATTGGCTCTAGTGGCAGGGACCCGGGCTGCAGGTGAACATCCTACAGTGCACAGGACAGTAGTGCCAAGGGTGAGCAATGCTGGATTAAATCTTTCCCATCTTTTCAAAAGATCATTGCTTTGTTTTCAAATTTTAATCTGAGATGTAGTTCAGGAAATTCATAGGTGAAGACTAACCCAAAGGTTAATCTCCTTTTGACTCTTAAAAGTGTATTATAGGGAGAGGGAAGTTCGGGGTGATGTGGGGGGTGGTGAGTAGCAAGAGATTAACCAAAGAATTTATATGCATATGTGCATACGCCATGGACACAGACAATAGTGTGGTGAAGGCCTGGGGGGGGGGGCAGAGTGGGGTGGAGAGGGTCAAAGGGAAAAAAGGGGGACATATGTAATATATTCAATAAAGATAAAATAAAAAAAAAACCCTGCATTATAGGGTTAGCTAGCTGTGTGCCAACATTTTAATGTGGAATTTAAAGATAATACATGTTCTTCAAAACACAGAAGAGAGTCCTGTGGTTATAGTAATCCAGCTTTAGGCTTTAGTGTGTGGTTACTAATGTAGCAAATTTAGGCACTTCAAGTGACCAGTTGGAGTGCATGCCAAATTTATTTCCACGGAAAATATCCCACATCAAACACATGCCTCTTGGTAATTAGATTTTTTATTTTCACAGTAGCAGATTTGTAATGTCCAGTTATTTTTAGCTTACTTTTTTGTCCTAACTACAAGATTGTTGACAGTGTCTGTATTACCTAATTATACAACTTTCTTATTGAAATATACATTTTTAAATTCTAAAGAACACTTATAGTCCTTTATTTGCTTTGAATGAATTGGTTGTTACTTAACTACTTAGGGAATTCACTTAGGGAAACTTTTAATTTCCACCCCCCCCAAAGATAATTACAATAAATATTCATTTTGAGGTTAGCCTTCATTTCCCCCTTTTAATGACCTGATTTATAATATTTTAGGCATTTTAGTTCTATTTGTCTTTAAGCAGTGAAGCACAGTAGTTTTTTATTCAGTTCCAATTTATGATAAGGTTTCCTAGGAATGCAGTAGATGACTTGTTTATTATGAAAATGCATTTTAAGTTATATAAGTAATCCATGAATAACGCTCATTGAAGAAACTGAATAACAGAGAAGTATTTAGAGTTAGCACTTAGAGTTCCCTTTCTGGCCCAATACCATTTCCTTTCCTGGAGGCAGCTAACATTAGCAGTGATTTTTGAAGGAGGTTAACATATTCAAAGTAAAAAAGGAAAGTTCATGAATATTACTAATTCGAATCGTTCTTTTTCCACATTCATTGAAACAACTGATATTGAATTTCATGAGGGCCATTGAAAAAGATAGTACTCAAATGCAGGAGCTTGGAGTTTGAATTTTCGTTACTCAAAATAATAATGCCTTTCATTGAAATGCCTTTTGTTGAAATGTTGACAGCATTCTCATAGCTATTGCTTACTTTTTTCCTACCATCCTACAATACCCATAAAGAGTTCATATTATTTGTTTATGTGCAAATTTTAGTTTTTTGTGTTTTTGTCGGCAAATAGTGTTTTCCTATGTGCCTACATTTCCTTTGTCTACATGGCTGGTTCCTTTTGCACAGATTGAGAATGGGCCTGCACACTCTCAGTCAGCCATTTTCAACCTTTTTCATCTCATGGCATGCAAACTAATGACTAAAATTCTGTGGCACACCAAACAGTATTTTCTATTTTTGGCTGATCTGACCAAAAAAAGTATAATTTGGGTTCATTCACACTGGATGGCTATTGTTGTGTGTGCTGTTGTCATTTCTTAATTTGACAATCTAAGGGAAAAGAGGTCAGTTTCCCGTACTTAATAGCCAGGTAGTGCTCCTTTTAAACATTCTTGTGGCATACCGGTTGAAAATTGCTGTTCTAAGGGATAGTGTTATGCTCAAATACATTCTTAAATTTTTCTTTTTCATCTATTCTGTGCCAAAGTAGTGACCTCAATTCCTGTAATTAAGAGTTAAAATGTTAATTGGTGCATTTAAAATTACCTCATGGAAAGTCCTCCCACTCCTACTAGGCAGCAAAACATTTAAAAAATCCACAAAAAAGGTAATTTGTTATTACATATTTTACTGACAAGATTTCCTTATGAGTGATGGCAATTAAATGTTATAGAATTCTGAGGCTGCTTATCCCCACCCAGCCATAGTACATTTGATTCAGGGGCTGAAAGATGCTTCTTGTTGTTTCCATTCTGCTTTTCAAGATCTCCTGCATTGTGGTGTAACTGTGGGACCATGAAACCATCCTCAAGGCCCACACAAAACTCTGCCTTAATTCCCCACCACTCCTGCCTCTTTGGACCCCACCGCCAGCCCCTTCCAGCTGTGTGCAGACTCTCAAGTCACCTCCTGCCCTGACAGTCTCATCACCCTTAAAATCTGACTGCTGCTTCCAGTCTCTTTCCTCTTGAATTCTTGTTCACACTGGGGCCCGAGTTACACTTCTGGGAAGGATCTGGTTGTCTTTCCAGGGTAATACAAAGTGTTTTCCCAAATGTCTTGTCGAGCCTGCCTGTTCCTTTCCCTCAAACGCTGCCTGCATTCTCCTCTGTGAGCTGAGCTGGGTCAGGAGACAATGTGGTGGTTTTAAAGACCACCCTGGACAATTGCCTTTCCCTGGAAATGTCCCTCACTTCCTGGGAATTTCCATCCTCCTCAGCTCATACTCATCCTTTAAGAGTAAGCTGCTTCTACAAGCAATCTTGAGTCTTGCTTACCACAGCACCCACAGCGGTCTTCCCTTCTCCATGATTCTCTGTTGTTTACACCTTCAGACTACACCTCACACCATCTCAGGCCAGCCTTTATTACAGCCTTTATTACAGCCTTTATTATGGCTAGACCTGCTGGTCTGTCCTCCCCCAAGGCATGCCTTTTTTTGAGGATAGATAGCAACCTTGTCTGGCCTCCAGCAAGGAAGCAGGTGTGAATGTAACTACTTTGAAGGCACCGTCAGACATCTTAGCCATTGTTCCTCTCTAGTGAGGTTGGATCTATAAAACCTAAATGCCTGGTTGCCCTAAATGGCAGGACACCTGTGCAGTCACACAATTTCCTCAATGGCTGAACAGTCACAGGCACACAGTGAACAGACTGCATGCTGTGC